GAATATAAAACAATGCAGTCTCTGTAAAATATTCTGTAGAGATTTCTTTGAGAAAAACAGACAAGCACTCACAATTCCAATGTCTAGTTAATCATAAATGAAAAATAGGTAAATATGGAACATATTTGCACACTATTAAAACAACGGCATTATGTTCAATAACCAAGACATGGAAGCCAAGTAAATACCTACTGTCAGATAAGTGGATAAACAATGCATTGTATACATGAAATGGACTACTACTCACCACCGAAGAAGGAAATTTTGATGCTTGCTAAAGCACAGATGAGGATACTTGCTATACTGAGGAGTCCAGCTGTAAAAAATGAAAATATGAGGTGATTATATTTTTGTGAGGCATCGAAAGTTGCCAACTTCATTGTAATGGAATAGTGACTGGCCAAGGATGAGACAGGATAATCAAGATTATTATGTAATATGAAAAAAGCAACTGTTTTACAAGCCTAGAACATTCTGGAGACTGCTTGTATGGCAATGTAAACACCCTTGACATTTCTGAACTATACATGTACAATGGTTCAGCTAGTGAATTTTATACTATGTGTTATAACCACAATTAAAAATTTTTAAATGCTTTTAAAGAAAAAAAATCCACCTATAAGGCGAAATTGTGTTGGCCTACCTCTCAACTCACTGCTCATACATTGACATATATCTCGTGACATCTCATTGACTTTGAAGATATTTTGAATGTTAAAAGGAGTTAGAAGGAGTAATTAATGGACTCCAATGAAGAGCAGGGTTGCTTGGTGGACATAATTAAAAACAGGTTGAAGGACCAATCCATGGGAAATAGGCAAACAGGGTTTTAATTGTGTCAAACCTGCAGTCCCAGCACATGGGAGGCCCAGGCAGAAAAACTGTGTGTTTGGGTTCAGAGCGGGTTATACATTGGGATCCTCTCTCAGCAAAAACAGTGTAACGAGAGAGTGGAAAGAGGGTGGAAGGAGAGAGAAGAAGGCCAGGAAAGACAAGGAAAGGGAGTGAAGACAGGACAAATGATGAAGGATACGAATGGATGGGTGATTGGCTGACATACACACAATGCTCAAAATCAACCCTGTCATTATCTGTGCAAAACTATCATTTCTCCTAGCTGTTTACTTTGTTTCTCATGGATCATTTTAAAGATTATCGTAATACCAACTTATGTTTCATAATAACACAAAAACAATGCCAATCTATCTTTTATACAAATGTCATTCTTCAGATCTTCGGTACCAACACAGGTCTATGCTCTTCAGAAAACACTTCAAGATCTCAATAAAAAATACATAATTTATATGGAAAAAAATTGAAAGCAGCATGAAAGTTAAAAATGACAATTTTATTGTTTAAAATGGTGACATTAGGCCATTGATACCATACCTGGAACACATTCCATGGCACTTCGTTCTATGTGGCCGGAGAACACAATGCTAATGAACCGGTCAGGAGGATGTCACTCCTTCTGAGGGGGAGGAAGAACAAGGTGATCACAGAATTGCGCGGTCCCTATGGGCTGAGCTTATGAATCATGGGAGCCACGTAGGTGGTGACTGAATTGTTGTCTACAATTCACCCTTCCCCCGGTACACATTTGTCATTATCCCATGTGAAATTGCCCCCAATGTAATGCCCAGGCTTTTTTTTTTTTTTTGAGTCTCTGGGTCAGGAAGTCCCCACCTACAACTTCTTTGATTCTGCTGATCTGGGCATGTTCTAAAGCTGTAGTCCAGATGTGGACTGAGCCAGGTGTGTTGGTACACACCTGTCATCCCAGTATTGCCAACCCAAGGCTGGGACAAGAGGATTGCTACACATCTGGGGGCAGCCTTTCCTACAGAGTGAATTCTAGGTCAGCCAAATCTGTACAGAGACACTGTCTCAAACAAACAACAAGTTAAAAATAATTACTGTGTGCGCTAGACTGTCTAAATTCAAAACGGAGGGGAGAGACTTACTCCTTAGGTTGCTCATTTGTTAGAAGGCTGTGGGTTCAGAGGAGAGCTGGGGATGGAGGCTGTCAAGCTTATCTGAGAATTGTGTTCCTCAGGAGAAGAGGGAAAAGCCTGAGAGAATCCCTGTGAGATGGAAACTAGAATTTGTGTCTTGCTTTGGTTCTTTGTGGTACTAGAGATGGAACATAGAGCCTCCCACATACTAAAGCTGACACTGTATCTGAAGCCATCTCTTACTGAAGAGGAATTTTGTTTGCTTCTTCTGTTTCTAGAAAACAAAGAAGGACTGATGAGTAGAAGTCTCTGGGTAGCATAAGGAGGAGTGACACTGGGACCAGGCACTTCAGTGGTGGTTGTCTCTCGTAATGGAGTCATTCAGGAGGGTACTGGGCAGCTACAGACAGGCACGGTGTGGCACACACTTCCTTCAGCTCCCCCACTGGGGAGGATGCCTGCAGGCAAAGGGGAGTCAGATGAAAGGGGGAGACCTGTCAAAGGCTGATGGAAAGCAGGATGTGATACCCACACACCTACAACCCTGAAATCTAGAGGCAGAAGTCGAGGATTGTCATAAATTTAAGACAAGCCTAGGCTATATAGCAAGACCCTGTCTCAAAAGAGCAAACCACATCACCTAAAGAGGGTGAGGTGAAGACCAGTCATGAGCAAGGGGCTGCTTTTGCAAAGAGGGAAGCAGTCAGAACTGGCCTGTCTCCCCTTTCCTGAGTAGGAGGCAGAGTCTGCAGTTCAGGGACTAACCAGCTCCTCAGAGGCCTGGTGGAGACAGGGTCTCAGATGCCTTCACCTGCACCTCAATAGACCAACAGGAGGGAATCACAGATTTACGTTTCACTTAACCATGGTTGCTAAATATTCCGGTGTGTGGAAGTTTATCTCTTCTGTATTACAATGATGTAGGTGCTTTTAAGACACTGGGACCAAAAAAAAAAGTATTATTTGCATAGAGAAAAAAAATCACATTGCAGAAGTGATCCAAGAAGAAGTCCAGATGGCTCTTCAGAAATGACTTGTTGGGTAATTACATAATGTATTTACATAGTTCAAGAGACATATGTTGGGTGGTGTCTCTCCCGGCTCTGCATCCTCAACTTACACGCATGCCTTTCTCACCAGCCAGTTTCTTTTGGTATTATGATAAATATAGCAGCTGGGCATAATGGTGGCAACCCCAGCAGCACTCAGGAGGCTGAACAGGAGAATCCTGAGTTCAAGGCCAGTGTGGACTACCCGTCAAGACCTTGTTTGTAAGCAAAGCAACAAAAATATGCATAGCATAGCAGGAATCATTTGAACCATTTTTTACAGGTGTCTTGATTTCATAATTTACTTCAAAGATACTGAATTGTCAACTTAAACACAAAAATGTTACATTAAGTATACAGAATACGATTTAATACAAATACTCATACGGTTTTTTTTTCTTTTCAGTTGGCTAAAACAATTTTTTTCGAGACTGGAGATGTATACATTTTTGTGTCATCCACCTCCATAAATTATAAGCTTCTGAATAAAGGGGGTAGTTTATTTTTTTCTTTCTCTTTCTCACTCTTGGTGATGGAAAAATAACTGCCAAGGCCATGGTTCATTTGAACCATTTTAAGCATACAATCCACAGCTGTACAGCCAGCACTCTACCCCATCTGCTCAAACCGGGACTCTTAGAGCGCCCACCTCCTTATGAGTCTCCAGTACTTTCTGTCTTATATCCTGTCTCTATGAATTTGTCTATTCTAGATTCCTTGTTTGTAGTGGATGACCCTGGGTGTCTGCTTGACTGGGTCTGGAAACAATTAAGATACACACCTCTGGGTGGGTTTGTGAAGCTACTTCTTGGTGCATCTTCTGGGAGTCTCTGTCATAACGGGATTTGGGGTCATACAGGGATGACTTGCCTGTCTACTTTCACTCCTGGCTGGTAATGGCATATCTTCTGTCAATGCTTTAGTCCTTTGACCCATCAGAATACAGCTTCTCTGGCCTTCAAACATGGATGAAAGACTAACAGCTTTCCAAGACTCTTCCAGATCTTTTGTGCCAGATTGGGACTGCTGAGTCGTCCAGTCTTAGGGACCAAAGAGCTACTTAGTTTTCTTTCAGCTTTTACAGTGAGCAGCCAACAACTGCTGGATTACCCAACCAATGTGGAAACCAACTGAGTAAACAAACCCCTTTGTGTGTATTCATTATATCACTTCTGTTCTTCTGGAGAAAGCTAACACAATATACAAATGGAATCCTGCAATATTTGTCTTTTGTGTGTTGCTTATTTCACTTATTGTAATGCCTTGAAAAATTCACTCAAGATGTTCATATGTACCAGGAGTTACTTTTTAGGGTGGAATAATAGTTATACACACAGACATGACTAACACACATATGTGTGTATTTGTGTGTATGTGTGTGTTATATACACAAATATGTAGTCCTGTTTATCTTTCTAACCACTGGTGAGCATTTGTGATGTTCCTACCTTTGGGTTATCATTCATAATGTTATGAACATCAATGTAGAGGTATTCATTTGAATTCTTGCTTTCTATTCTTTAAAGTATATGCCCAGATGGAATTTCTTTCACTTTAGAGGAATATCAGTAGCCAATTTTATTAGTTTCTTATTTGCTGCATAGACTTTTGTGCACAGGTAGCCATTTGTGAGCGGTTTTTCTGCTTGTAGTGATTCTTCATGCAGATAGAGCAAAACTAAACTGAAGATATTTCTTCCTTTTATTCCAGACTACCATAATGAATTCATATATATTTAAAGTATTTCTGGATAGTTCCACATGAGTATATGACAGGCTTCTTCTTTCTTTTCCCTTTCTTTCTTTTATTTAGCTGTATAATATTCCACTGAGTGGCTGTGTTATAATTTATGTAAGTGAATAGCAATGTTGGATGCAATATTTTACTATAGTAGAAAAGCCATAATAGAAATCTGCTAATGAATGTGTGAGCATGAGATGCATGCATCATAGAATCCTAAACATGAGCAAATAGGTCAGTGGGTAAATGCATTTTTGCAAATACTGAACAGTGCACCAATTTGCATTACTTCCTTGTACAGTGGCTATGCTAGTCTTTTCTGTGTCATTCTGATTTTAGCAGATGAACTGCTGATGTGGACATAGGTAAACATGCTTTAAATTGTGGTAAATATTGGTAAACTACTTTCCCTTGGGGACATGGAATTAATAGTCTTCTCTAGCAATGAGTCCGTTCTGTCCTGTTATGTATTTACTGTAGACTTGTAGGTTTGGCTAAACTACCAGATTAAAACTGGCACCACAGGGCAATTTGTACTTGGTTTTTCTCCTTTTACAAGTAAGGCTCAGCAACTTTTCATGCTTAAAAGCTATTTATTCCTTGGGAACTTTCCTGTTAATATTCTGTTTCCACTTTTCTGCAAATGGCTGGCCATTTTGACTAGAAATGGCCTGTGCACTTGGAAGATTAGCTGATTCTCTGTGAAATGAACTAGAAATGTTTCTCCCAGTGTGTTGTCCATCTTGTGATTTTACTTATGGCACCTGCCCTGAAAAACAGCAGTGATTTTACAGCTTGGAAGCATACACCTTTTCTCCTTGGCACCTGGATTTGAGGGTCACAGTTAGCAAAGGCTCCTGGACTCCAGGACTCCAAAGGACAGCACTGTTTTCTGCCAGCATTTTTCTGACTTCATGAAAAGAACGCACATGCACTTCCTTCCTGGCTATTTTTTGGAGTTTATGTGCGAGACAGTGAGAGACAGAGATCTACCTTCATCTCACTTCAATTGTCTACTTGATTGCTTCCAGAGTGTTTGTTTAAGCATCTTCCCAATGTATTCATTGCACATCTCAAAAGAGCTAGCAGAGACAGTTCCCAGTATATTCATGAGAAAGAAAGAAGGAAATGTAAGTGGATGACAACACTAACGAACCATCTTATCTTTACACAATATACACAAAGAGAAACATCCCAGTGGAACCTTCTCTGTAAGCTGCCCATTGGCTCCAGTGTCGACTGTGTATGGGTCTCCATCACTCCTCTTTCCTCTGTCTGTGATTATAACAGGGTAACCCATCCTGCTACGGTTGAGGTTGCACACTGAATGTTAATTTCCAAATATGAATGACTGTTCTTCTTTATCCCCGCTAGCTAGATTTGGAGCATGTTACATGTTACCTTCTTACATGCTACATTCTCTTTGGAAGCTGGGACACTGAAAGGAACAGCTTAGCAGAAGAGAGATGTATGTGGGCTCATAGTTTCCAGAGATTTTGGTCTGTCCTCAGGAGGAAGACATGCTGGTAGAAGTCACTCGGTCTGTGTTGTTGAGACCTAGCAGTGAGGCTGTTGGTCACATTTTGGCAGCAGTTTTCTTCTGGCCCCAGTCATAGGCAGACAGACTCTTTAAGATGTGTCCCCTAGCACTCCTGCCATCTTGGCCACACCCCATGAAGGTTCTACAATGCCATTAGCTGGCAACAATATGTTCAAGCACATGACTTGTGGGGGGACATTCACGAAACAAACTAAAACCTTTTTTGTAGGATAGCTTGGGCCATGCAGACACCGTCATGCTCCCTAGTCTTTCCACTTACTGGGTTCTACTTTGGTTCTATCAGGGATGACGGATGTTAAGTTTTCCTGGGGAAAGTTTTCTGCATTTCCAGTGTAAATTTCTTCTTGGTAATTTACCTTCTGCTGTTTCTGCAAATGTTATTATTCCTTATAATTTATTAAGACTATCAGTTTCTGACATGATCTGCTCATGTATAGGGCTCATTTACAATCTGCAACTGTTTCTCAGAGAGTCTCTGTGGTACTCCAATTATGGGAATGTGTTATCTACAAATGGTAGTCCTTTCTCTGCCTCCTTTCCAACTGTGTTTGTAACTTATTGGTCTTATCCAAACCTCATCATTGGAGGCCTCTGGGGGAATGTCAAAAGCTAAAAGTTACAAAAAGCAGTTGTCCCAAGTCCCATAGTTTTGTATTCTTACATTATCTGGTTTAGACAGTACCTTTGCCTTCTAGTGTGGCAAATTAAGACATATACTTACATATTTATCTTCACTCTCTGACCCTCTCTACATCCTGATTTGGATTAGTCTCATTATCTTTCATTGCTAAGGCTTATAACATTTAAATTCAAAGTTTTAATTAAGTCTTACAAGGTTTGTCTTCAGATATTATTCTAAAATACTACGTAACTATTATGATTCAATAAATTTTTTTTTTTGGTTTTTACGAGACAGGGTTTCTCTGTATTGTTTCGGAGGCTATCGGTTCAGCCTGGCCTCGAACTCACAGAGATCCGCCTGCCTCTGCCTCCCGAGTGCTGGGATTAAAGGCGTGCGCCACCACCGCCCGGCTTTTTAACTATTATGATTCGATAAATCTTATTCATAAAGGAATCTGTTGGAGAGCAATGTAGTCCTGTGCCAACTGGTTAAGTCTGTTCCATTCTACAGTTTGTGTCCTGACTTTCTTGTCCCTTTGTAATCACACTTCATTATTACATGTTCTCATGACTCATGCTGCTCTCTCAAGCCAGTTCATCATAAAACTGGCCTTAGTGGCATGTACCTGTCATCCCAAAACTTGAGAGATGAAGGCAGGATCATCAGGAGTTCTAGGTCATCCTATTGATGTTTGAAAAAGATAGGATTGAAAAATGTGGATGTAGTTTCTAAAAACAATCTAGACTCATAGATGGAAAGAGACAGGACCATATGTTAGCATGTGATAGGCCATCTAGAACCACTAGTCATAATGTTGTTGAGGTAGGGAGTTCTCTGAGGTTGTATTGCATATCAATGGTAGATTAAATATCCAGATCATATGGTTCCCTGCCCCCTCACCCCAATATTAGCAGAAGGTATAATTCCTTGTAGTATCTCCGTAGACAGTTGGGATAGTTGTAACCAACAAGGACAGCACATGCTCCCTCTAACATATTGAGCTATGTAAGTCCTAGCTGCTACAAATCGAGTCTCCCAGCATGGTAGTCTCTCTGACCAGACATGCAGGAAAATAGAGTATGTGCGCTCTCACCACAAGACATCGTCTAGAGCAGTTCCTAAGGACACAGGTGCCTGTTCTGTTCTATTATGGGCTAATTCTCCACTGGATGGAACAAAGCTGCATTGTGATATGCAGCCAAAATATCTACAACAGGGTTAGCCATAGTCTGGCTGACACTTAGGCTGCATAATTCCTTACTGTAGGTCTGTTCTGAACCCTTCAAAAAGTCCTTGGCCTCTGCCCTCTAGGTGCTGGCTGTGACCACTTACATCTTCAGACTTTGCCAAATGACCTCTAGGGAATGAAACTACTCCCTCTTGAGAACCACCGATTTACATAGATTTGCTATAAAAAGTTCCCTTTCTTTGGTAAATAACTCTGGGATATAGATAACAGGTTTTTCAAAATGCATTCTTTTCACACTGGAATCTTTTAAGATGACGTGTTAAAATATCAACATTCCAGGCTTTGGAGAGGCAAAAAAAATCTTTATATAAATACAGTGAACCTTTGAGACCATCAGAGAGCAATACAGAAACTAAATTTCTGCTGCGGTGTCAGAGATGTTCTGAGCAGACCATTTATCTCGGGCCTGCTTTGCTAATGGTCACAACACAATTAATCTTGGCATGCTTGCCTTTAAGCTACACAATGTCTAAACATGATTGAAAAAATATATTCTTCTCTTGAAAATAGAACAACTGTTTGTAAAGATGGTTCAGTCGGCAGGAGGCTCTCCTGTCACTCCCTGGATTCTATTTTTGTTGAGAGGATCTACTGCCTTTTAAAAAGACACCGAAGGGCTCTTGCTGCACATTGCACTAAGATAAATTTGCTTAATGGTCAAACTAGTGCCCTGAAAGATAATCTTGGACTGCATGTTTAAAAAATGCCTTGAAGGTGGAAATACAGCAATTTCCACAAAGGCTTTTGAATTTTTTTGACTGTTGCCTAATACTGGTATTTCTGGCTGCTGGTACTGGATTGGCAATGGAAAGCTACCTCAGTTGCCTATAAAAGGAATTCCCCCATCACCTTGACCCTGACTCAATCTATCTCTCCTGGGTAGGGGTGAAGATGAGAGTAGGGGGCGAGGGGAAGAGGGGTGACAGAATGTCCAAATTTTCTAGTGAAAGACAGAAAATCTTTCAATGACAATGGGTTATTTCTAAGTTCAAGGTGTTCTTCTATGCTAAATGTTTTAAGAATGTTAGATGCTCAGACATACAAAGATAAGTTTGTGAATGCAGTCATTTCATGCTATCTGGAAAGGAGCTGGTTCCAGGACCATAGAAGATACCCAAATCTACACATGCCCAGATGCATACCTTCATATAAAACATAATATTTTCATTCCAATTTTAGCATACGTGCTTCCGAGGCGAGCATTAAGATACTATAATATTTTCATGTAGCCTGTGCACAGCCCCTAAATCAAATATCAGATAATCTCTAGGTGACTCAGCATCATTTGCAAGACCATGCAAGTAGCTGTTATGCAGATTTGTCTGGGGAAATAACTAAATAAAATCGCCATTATGTAGATAGAATTCTTTTCAAACCTTCTTGCTCTATGGTTGGTTGAAATTATGAATTCAGAATATGGATATGTGTGCATAAACACACATATATACATGTTTTGTGTATATGCATCTCTCTCCCTCCCTCCCTCCGTCCCTCCGTCCCTCCGTCCCTCCCTCCGTCCCTCCCTCCCTCCCTCCCTCCCTCCCTCCCTCTCTCTCTCTCTCTCTCTGAGACAGGATCTTGTCATGTTGTCTGTGCCCATAGGAAACTTTCTATGCCTCCAAGGCTGTCCTCAAATAGCTCGTGACTCCCTGCCTCAGCCTCCCTACCGGTAAATTTACAAATGAGCATCACAGTGCTGGGCTTGTTCTTGGTGTTTTAAAATCCATGTCAAGTTCTACAAACCCACCGTCACAGTGCTTCTGGCAATGTGCAAAGCTGCTTTATTTGAGGGTGGTTGTTTCACTGCTTTGCAAATGTTTCAACAGGGTTTCCATAATATGCTGTCAAATCAGCCAGTGGAGGCCTTAATCAACCAGCTGGTTAATATCACATGGTTTGTGGGTTGGAAAGAGGCTGAAAATGTAATCC